AAGGATGAATGAGAAGCGATGAAGACATTTTGGACACTGGTAACTTTTTAAACGCTTTCCTTCCTTGACATGATAGAAATATTGGGAAAAATATATCATTTCAAAAAGTAACATCCACTGTAAATATTTTAAGTACTAAATACATTAAATGTTTTCCAGAATGTCTTATCATCTTGATTATGCAAAAATAATTTTAATAATATAACTTATGCCTCAAATTTGATAAAGGCATAGTTGATTCTTAATTTTCCTTTTTATCTCTTTTGTTCACTATTTTACCACTTTAAGAAGAAATCCAATTTAAAAAGTTTGCTGATTATAATGATAAACAATGGTAACTCAGCACCTTGACTTTCAATTAAAAGTAATTTAGAATGAAAAAGAAAAGTAATATACAATCTCCTAGACTCAGTTTTCCAAGAGGGCCAATTCTTACAGATGTTGATCTGTTCTTCTGTTTTATTATTTAAATAATTAAATTTTAAATTTTAGGAGGTTTCTGGGTTGGCTTTTATTCCCCTTGATAAAGATCTGAAGAGGTGAGAAGACAAACCCATCTCCTACACTAAACTTAAGCTTTAAATTCGTTGTGCATAAAGACAACCCGTCAAAGTATTTTACCAGTCATTAAAGATGGCCAGGATTGCTGGAGGAGAAGGTGGACTAACATCTTAACTTATTTAATAGCAGCTCTGACTACTCTGGAGTTGCAGTGGAAGCTGAAGAGACCAGGAAATAGCTCCTTTGGATTCCACGTTAGCATCATGCACCCTCCTGTGATCCCTTCTTTTGATAGTTCCTGTCTGGGTCATGCATATAGGGAAACCCTGGCTGGCTGGCACTATGTTATTCTTTGAGATGCTTCAAAGAAACGTGGTGACCTTCAATGGCCACGGCCGGTAGGAGCCGCAACTGGCTTGCCCGTTAGGATCAATCCCACTATCGTAGTTTGCAGAAATAGCCACAAAATGAAAGGCATGGAGGTCCGCGCGTCCACTCAGGCACTAGAAAATGAGGGGAAACTGCTTCCGTGTCTCTCTTCGGAAAAAAAGAGCTGAAGCAGGAGGCGTGTGCTTTGAACTGAGTTCATTTAAGATGCATGGAGTGCATGAGTACAGTGATTGCCGTTCTCGAATGAAAACAACTTCTGGAGGTCTTGGCACTCAGGGAGGGTAATTACTTTCAGACCAGCCCTGTTTTAAAGTGTAAGTGATTTGCGGTGAGATTTAAAGTTAAAACCATAAACATTTGCTAAACAAAGGAAAACGTATCACACATCTTTCCTCATGAAATGGTTTTAAATTACATCCAAGGTGTGTGCTGGCTGCCTCCACTTAAACCCACAACAAATATAGGGGCTTGCCTTAGGAAATGTCAACCTGACATCAAACAGGTGCAGGCAAAATAAATCACAAATTGACTAGTGGTAGCAAAGAAGTGAGGATTTTGCCCTGGCTTTGAAGGAGAGAGACGTGAACCCACTCATGTTTATCGTCTGGAAAATGTTCTTGACACGGGATAGGTTGTGGCTTTGGGTGCTGGAGGACACCATCATCGCATCCTTTACTTGCAAATTGAGAGGCAGAACCACAAACACACACACGTTTGTGAACACACAGCAGGAGCCTAAAATCCCTTTTGGAGCCCAACGCTTCTCTTGCTGGGACCCCAAAAAGAAACAAATTCACCCATGTATGAAGGATGCCTCCTGTTCCTGCAACCTCCCTGATAAAATGCAATAACCAAATTACAAACACTCAGACAACTGCTTGAAAAAATTCAGCCAGGCACAGTGGCTCACACCTGTAATCCCAGGTGGACTGCTTGAGCCTATGAGTTCGAGACTAGCCTGGGCAACATGGCAAAACTCCTTCTCTTAAAAAAAAAAAAAAAAAAAATCTACCAAACAAGGGAACTCAGAAATTTTTCTTAATAATTGAAAGTTCAAATAATAAACTTTTTCAATCAACAAGTTGGTGATTTTGGATAGAATTCTGTAAGACTGCTTTAGTCCCCACAGGGTGTAGACAGTAAGCTTGCCTCCCTTGAATTATTTCTTTTCTTGGAAGGTACTGGCCATTGCAAATCTACATAACTCTGAATTGTTATTGTTTATAATTAAAAAAGAAAATGGTTAAGAGTAAAATATAAACATACTTACCTGTCTATTAGACGTACTTTCAGCATTACCTCTGGGGGCTGGCAGGAAAAAAATATATATTATTAAAAATCAGAGACTCATTATTTAATGAAAGGTTCAACATAATTTCAGGAAGGAGTCCACATTACTTTAGGAAGGTGTTATCAATCGGCAAACTCATTTACATGAAAAACAAATGCATACAGTCATTCCTCAGCATCCAGAAGGGATTGGCTCCAGGACTCCCGCAAACCCAAATCCTCCAATTCTCAAGTTTCTTATAGAGTATCATGTAATATTTTAATACAATATAAACACATCCTCCTATGTACTTTAAATAATCGATAGACTACTTATAATGCTTAGTGCAATGTTAACACTGTGTAAATAGTTGCTATAATATATTGTTTTTTATTTGTATCTTTTTTTGTTCTCTGAGAATTTTTGATGCAAGTTTGCTTGAATCCACAGATGAGCTAACTATATATGCATTGAACATAAATTATGAGTAGTGGATTATGAAAGTTACTATGTAAGTACTTTCTAACAACACAGATTCTCTAGTCCAGCCTTAGAAGAATGTTTTACTTTACCCCAAACTCTAAGGTAAATCCACCTTCTCTGGAGAACTGAATTTTGGATGTTTCTCAACCTTTCCCGAGAAGGAGGGGGTTCACGTCCCTGGGGTGCTGGGACCGAAGCCATCAGCAATGCCCCAACTAGGGCTCTCTGAAGTCTTTTGCTTCTATATTAAAACCCGGAGAAATGCAAGTGTTTGGCTCAAAATAGTTTTTTCCAAAGCTTCGAGTAGAGTCAACGCCGGAGGGAGCTGTGCTGTCTGTCTCCTGGCTTCACCGCCCCTGCACAGCGGAGCTTCCCGGGAAAGTCTCCTTCCTGCCCTCAGCTCAGCTTCCACACCTGCGTCTCCATGGAAACCTCTGGGACGCCCCCCAGGGGCTTCAGCATCCTCATCCCTTTCCCACTTTCACCCACTCACCAGTGGGCTCAGTTGGTCTCAGGATTTTAAATACTCTATTTCCTGACAGCTCCAAGGATACAAATTGCTGTAATCTTCAGCATGGACCTCTTTCTCTCCTCAGTCCAGATTATCAGATCCAACTTTGTTATTCATGTGGATTTTCATTCAATAGGCAGCTCAAAAGAGACAGGACCCAGCTGGACTCATTATCTGCCCTTGCAAACCTACTTTCTGACGTATTCCATTCTCAGGACACAGTAACCCCATTCTTGAGCTGCTCAGGACAAACTTTTGGAGTCATGATCATGCCTCTCTTCTCCTACCTTTCTCATCTCATCTGGGGGCAAATCCCTCAGGCTCTACACCCAGAGTCTATCCAGAGTCCAACCCTCGAAGCACACGCTGTTCCGTGGCCAGAACCGCCCGCCTCTCCCACGTGGACCCGAGCAGACGCCTCACCACTCTCCTCCTTCAGCCCTTCCCATCTGTTGTCTACACAAACACGGCAACCAGGGGTCCTCTATAACATTCCACCCATCCTTCCAACAGCCTCACTCAGAGAAGCAGCCAGGGGCTCCTGGGCTATGCTGGAGGCGGGATGTGCTCTGCCCCGTCCACCCATCCTTCCAACGACCTCACTCAGA